GCAAAAGAAACTAAGAATCTAACATCGAAACAAAAAGGAACTCATTTAAAAAAAGAAACGCGGTCAGCGCCGACTGCACACACACGCGAAAATGCAGCAAAACAAACAGCGAAAATCTAAATCCAAAAACAAACAGAAAAGAGCTTCGCCATTTCATTGCTAAACGAAGACGAAGAGTGCTCTAATTATTAAATAAAATAAAGGGGGGAAAACTCTGTCATTTACCTGGGAAGAAATGTAGGCGGGAGTTGTTTTGCTTTGCTTGGGCTTTGACCGGAGGGAGAAGAGAGAGAGAGAGAGACGTTGTGAAAAGCAACGGTCAAAAAGCCTAAAGCCTAGTGAAGAAGGAAAAAATGGGAAAACAAAAAATAAAAGTAATTAAAGTGAGATAAAGGCAGGGGACAACGAATATGAACCTGCCAAATCTTTTACCCTTCATACTTCACTTTATTTCAGAACTGCCACTCCAGCCCTTTTTCGTGAACCAGTACCATTACATATAGTTTTTAGCATTTAATATTTATTTATCTATTTTTATAGCATTATATATATTTTAAAATAATTTGAATTTTCGTATAATTATTATTGCATTTTTTCCATAATATAATTCTAGTGAAATCATGCCACTTGCATTTTAAGCGGTTACAAATAGGAGAAGAAATTATTGTAATCGCATGCATCACTAATGGTCACCAAATAAAAGAGGAATGAAACTAAAAAATAAACATTATTTTTATCTTTAACTTTGGTTTATATATATTCATGCATTGATAGTTAGGGATAGATCGAAAGTGTGCGATAAATTTTCAATTTTCTTATATTTTAAACTTTTTTTTTACTTTCTATTAATTATTTAACTTCGTGTTTTTAAAATTTTATAATTTGCACTTCCTACAATTTTTTTATATAACTTTTTAAGTTTGTACCCCCTAACATAAATTTTTACGCCCGTTCCTGTTGATAGTTACTCTCCCTTTTCTTTAATTTGAGTTTGTGTCGTTTTTATAAATTAAATCAATTTTTCTTCTTTGATTTTGTTTAGTCAACGAAAGTACCGATTTTGATGCTAATTGTCGACCGTCGGTTATCTTTTCTCTTTTTTAAATTTTTTAATAAGAATAAATTTGCCTTTGTGCCATGTTTGTATCTGTATTTGTGACACGTTTATCTCTTCGTTGTGGTAAGTTTTTTATTTTTTTCTCAGTCGTTTGGTCGTTCTTTTATTTATGTTTTCTCATGGTTGGATTTGATGATGTTACGACTGATTAAGATGTCGCTCATTTGAAATCTTGTTGATCTTCTCTGTTATGGACCTTTAGATTGAATTTGGATGTGTGATTTTACGTTCGTTGATAGCTTCTCACTATGTTTGGATATGATTTGTGGTTCCTGATGGTTTCTCAATAGTTTAATTTTATTTTGTGGTTTGTTTCCCGATATAATCAGGTTTGTTCGTATCTATTTTTGTTCGAGTATTTTGGTTGGGTTTTTAACCTTCTAGATGTATAGATCTTATACGGTCGAAAGTAACTAGTTTTAATGTTATACGAAAATGTTCAATTTATGTATTTAGTTTACAATGATAAATGTAAACTTTTATTGTAATTTTAGATATTTTCACTTTTTAATAATAGGTTTTTATTCAAATATATATATATATATATATATATATATATATATATATATATATATATATTCATTCATTGAGAGTGAATTTTTTTCCACAATTGAGTTTTAACGTTATCGTATATGTTTATGAATTTAGGTTTAAAAGTTTAGGATTTAAATTTAAAGTTTAAAATTTAAGTTTATAATTTAAAATATAAGGTTAAAATTTCTACATAAAATACATAACAATATTAGAATTTTGATAGTGAAAAATCACTGTAAGTGCATGAGATAAAATCTTTTATAATTTCTCACTTGAAATTCTCGTAGTTATGATTGAGAATATCAATTTTCGTTTCCTTCACTTCATTGGTTCTTTCATGAGTGACTTGGAGCTTATCCCAAATTCCTTGGCATTTAAATAAGAGGAGATTATTCTATATTCATCCGGGCCTAATGTACAAAACAAAATGTGCATGGCGTTAGCATTGAGTTGGAACTCTTTCTTCTCTCTTTCACTCTATTATGCAATAGCCCTAGTTGGAGTAGAGTGACCCGTCAAGATAGAGCTTCAAGCATCTAGATCGGTTGCTTGAATGAAGAGCATCATCTTATTCTTCCAATAAGTATAATTTGCTCTATTGAAATAGGGTGATTTGTTAACCGGTTGAGAATCTTCGTTGTAGTAAGAGTTAGAGGTTGAAGCTATCTTTATCGATTAATTGAAAAAGTTGATAGAGCTATTCTATGATCTTCACAAGGTTGTTAAATTGTCGATTGTGGCATACTCTGATACCAATTGTTAGGTTCGATGAAACTCATTCGATCAATCAAAATATGCCAAGAGGTGTAAATAGGCTTTTTGAGATTTAGAGAGTAAGGGGTATAAAGATAGGAAAACTTGCACAATTATTTATAGCGGTTCAACTTCCTCAATGAAGTCTATATCCACTACCTAAGCTACTCACTTAGGATTTTTCAACAAATCCACTCATTTGTTCTTTCTTTTTCAATGACAAAGAGATAACCTTTACAAACTCCCTAATTTTTCAAAAGGCTTAACTAGAACCAAAACCCCTTTACAAATAAAAAAGAATTGTAAAGAAGAAAACCTATAAAAATGAAGGTATTTACAAATCAAAGCTCACAAAAATACAAATACTTACAAAAGAAAGAAAATAAATAATGAAAAGATTTTCTCATGTGTTTGATTACTTGGATAGGTGTTGGCAACCTTCTCCAAGTGTCTTGAACTTGTTTTTATATGTTGGAATGAGTTACTAACCGTTTCTATATTGGAGATGTTTTGGAGCAGTTAGGGATCAAAATAGTCGTTACCTGCAACTTTTAAGGCACAAGGGATCGATCTTTTTACTAAAGGGATTGATTATTTTTTTCAAATATTTCGACCGTTATACTAAAGGGATCGATCCTTTTGTCAATGGATCGATCCCAAACTCACTGTTATCCAGGGGATCAATCTTTTAGTCAAAAGATCGATCCCTTTAACCAAAGGATCGATCCTTTTGCTAAGGGATCGATCCTTTTGCTAAAGGCTCGATCCTTTGAGCCAGAGAAGCTTGGAAACATGATTTTAAAACACGAAACTGATCGAGTATGTTTTGAAAAGGTTCGACTAAGTTTGAAAAATGTTTAAAAACATATTTTTAACTTTTATTTGGACTTTAAATTATTTTTAAAGACTTCAAATAAATTAAATTTAATCCAAAAATATTTTTTTTACTTATTTAATATATCAAAATATAAGTTATACATAAGAACAAATAACTTTAATCATTATAATTAAGACATTAATTAATATATATTATTATTATTATCATTCCAAGACAAAATCATATTATTAGCACTTGTCCGATTAGAATTTGAAGACAGCTCTTATAGTCGATTGTCAAAGGTGGTTACCGTGACAGGGGGTATTTTGGTTAATCGAGCGGGAATTTGTGCAAAGCTGTCGGGAATCTTGGATTTCGGGAAAAAGTGGAAAAGAAAGTCGGCTCTAAAGCAAAGCGAAAACACCACCGTAGGTCCCACTGATTACGGAAAGACTCGGGACGGGAATGGAATTGATGCTTCCTCCGTTACGGTTTTCTCAAATATCGCCCACCATTTTATTAATAATTTATCAACATTGCCATTGATCGTTAATCACAATACCTATTAATAATTTTGATTTGTTTTAATACTTAAATTTTTATTTTTTTTAAATTTAACGTTATATTTTTAATAGAATAACTAAAAAACAAAATTAAACATCAAGCATGATTTGAAAAATTAAAAGTTTAAGTGTTAAAACGTATTAAACTGATAATTTAAATATTAAATATATATACTTTACCTTTTATTTATTTATAGTTAGTGAGTAAGATTTAATTATTTTCGATGATAGTCTCTAAGCTGAAATAAAAACTAAATATTAATATGAATTTGAAAAAAATTAAAAGTTAAGGTACTAAAATGGGTTTGAGTATTTTCATTTACTGGAGTTTGAACAACTTTGTCTATAGAGTATGTATAGGTTGTCACTAGAATAAAAAAATTGAACAAATAAATAATATCTTGTTATTTTAAAATATTATTAAAAAAATTACAGCACATACAAGTTGAAGCCCAAGAATAAAATGGGCCAACAAAAGCCCATCAATCAAAGCCTAAAAAAACATTAAACACGAGGTGGGCGGCAGAGTGAGGTAAAATAGTAGTATATGAACCAATGGCCGAAAACGTTCTACATCTTACTTCGAATTTAGAAATAGGGATGGAAACGAGTCGGGTTAGAGTCGGGTTAGCGTCGGGTTTTTGGTCAATTTGTTCCGATTCCGAATTCGATTCAATTCAAAAATTTGATATTCTTCATCCGATTCAACCTAATCCGAATTTTTAGAGTAGAAATCTGATCCGACTCAATTTGGTATAAAAGGAGGACTTAAGTAAAAGAAATAATTTTTAAAAAATTACACTTTTATCAGCAGGCCGGGTTGGATTAGAATTTTTTTATCCTCAACTCGAACCAGACCTTACCCCTTAAAAATTTTGATCTGACCTGACCCAAATCTATTTTTTTAAGTCTGACTCTATTGAATCGGTTTGGATCGAAACCCGTAAAATTCGGACCGAATCAACATCCCTGCTTAGAAATGTAGACATGCACAATCGTAGGGATCTTTCCTTCACACCCAATCAATTAATTTTCTTTTAGAGATATGCACTGATTCTGTAACACAATGAAATGAATTTAGACCACACCAACATAAAGCAAAACTTGCACATTCAATTTCCCAATGTCAACTGTTTTCCTCGGAATTTGTCTATAAAATCCTCACATCATCTTCCAAAACATTCACAGCTCAATTCACTGAAAAGTAAAAATAGCCATGAAGTCGCTAACCATCCTCTTTGCAATCTCGGCGGCGGTTGCCATTTTGGCCGCAACAATTCGGGCCGACTTCGACGAAGAACCCCATGTTCGAACCAACCAAGCTCCGTTGCGTCGATTCCTGGCTTGGCGGTACCCGAAACACGGCATGACGTGCGACAGGTTTCCGCGTATTTGTCGTCGAGAGAAGGGGAGTCCGGGGCCGGATTGTTGCAGGAAGAAATGTGTTAACGTGAAGAAAGATCGGTTCAACTGTGGGATGTGCGGTTATAAGTGCAAGTACGGTGAAATATGCTGCAGAGGGCAATGCGTGAATGCTTCGTTTGATAAAAGAAACTGCGGTGGGTGCAATAACAAATGCAAAAGGGGCGAATTATGCGTTTATGGGATGTGCAATTATGCTTGACTGCTCTGTATTAATCCATTGTATACTACTGGACCTGACCGAGTTAATCTGGTCCGTTAATATAGTTTATGAAATCAAGTAATTAATTCCAATAATTTAAAATTTATTAATTATAATTATATAACTATAATATGTTAAAATAATTATCGTAATTTATGAATACTGTTGAATTAGAAACCTCTTAAAATTAGAACATGCTTGTAACCAAAAAAAAATTAGAACATGCTTGTTATTGACCTTCTTCTTTTTAACCTAATTTTGTTTCAGTATTTTTGTGTCGTATTTTTCTCTCTTTGATTTTTATTTAGTCAGTATTAATGTTAGTTGTCGACCGCTGGTGACTATTTGTTCTCTTATTTTTTATATTGTCTTTTATTCTCTCTTTTTTCTTGAATTTTAAAATTTTGAATAATCTGTCTTTGTGACACGTTTGTTCTTGCGACACGCTTTTCCTCTACATACTTTTGCGGTCATTTTGATACTAAACACAAAAATCATCACAACATTTATTTTCTAATTAGTTTATCAATAGTCAGATTCATTTTTTGGTAAAAGGTTGTATTGTAACCTAATTTTGTTCGAGCTAGAAAATTGAATTGACGTCGTAGCAGTTCGATCGGTATTGGCAGCGTGGATAGAAGTGGTTCAAGTCGAGGACGATTTAACTCAAGTAAACGGTGATGGGCACTTGTGAAAATGGTTCAGGGAATCATGCAATTATTGGGAGCGTTGGAGATTTGTGGCCATTGGGCTTGAAACCATGTGAAATTGAAACTCACCCTTATTAAATTCAAAACAACACAGGAATCAAATTCACATTTTACAAATCACTGGCCAAATCTTTAAACTTTAACCCATTATCCATTTACCATTCACTTAACCCATTACTCATAAAAAATTTGCATCAATATGACCCAAACCTAAACCCATTACATTAAACCTCATGTCCAATTACATTCATATAATCCATTTCCTAAGCCCAGTTACATTTGATCCACTACACCAAAACCAATTGAACCTTACAACCCAAATGCCCAAGTTCAATGAAACCCTAAACTGATATGGGAAATAACCAAACCCTATTCAATTCCAGAACCTTCCCTTGACGCTTGAACGCCCACCACAGCCAGCAACCAACAGTGGTCCCAAGGCTTCCCACCAGCGAGCAATGTGTCGTGATCGTCCCTTTTTGTGTGTTACAACCGGATAAGCATGTCAAGACTAATTATGTATAGAGTCTATTAGCATGGTATAATAAGCTTTTACTCTTTTCAAGTATTTTAATGTTTAAATAGAGAATGCGAGGTAGGATATATAATCCCCAGTTCGAACGTTTTAATGTTTATAAATAATATTTCTATTATTTTATTTTTACATAAATATAGGATAATATTTCTATTATTTTATTTTTACATAAATATAGGAGGTGAACAGCCCGCAGAATTTGAGTTGATCACAAGTAAAGGTATGTGTGTAGATACATCATCGAAGGTTACCCCTGCATCTTAATCGATGGTATGGGTGAGTATGGACAATGTAATCCGATACCTTTCAATAATAAACTATTTTTTCTCAACAGAGAGGTTAGGGTCAGTTGTATGCATCCGTTATATCTCACGACCTCGACCCTTAGTTTGGAAAACTCTACGGTGATGATAATAATAATAATGGTCCTGTAGTTATTTGTTAGACAAATAATCGAGGATTAAGGTTGACTTGGCTTGGGAATATTTCATTTTCAGGTGCTACACGGATTAGAAACCTAGTTGAAAATGAAAGTCCGTGAATTGAGCCTCACGAGCAAAGTGCCAAAGTGGTTCCCGTCCTCCTCACGTACACCAGCAGCCACGGAGTGGTGTCATAACCGTTTTGGCAAGCATTGTAAAAGGGTATTCCCCTTCGATTTACGCAAAAGAAATAAAAAGAGAAAGCCTTTTTGTTTTTCAACAACCAAACTACATATTTATTCTTTATTTTTATTTCATTCGAATATAATACCAAACAAAACCAAAATTGAAAAACGAGAGAGGAATTTTACCCTTTCGTCCTAAGCCTCTCGTCGGCAATAAGAGCCTCGAACGATGAATTCCAACGGTGAAAAGAAGCTTGAGGGAAGACGAACGACATAGCTCGTAGCCGAGGTGATCCAACAGAGATTGGAGCGTTGGAAGCTGAGAGGTGCTTATTTCATGGAGTTGGGGGCGATTCTTGCAAAATCGAGCCCAGATCTACGTTCCCAGCGTCAAAATGATTCAACCGGTGTAGTTTAGAGAGCCCAACGGCCACCGACTACGGCGAAGCGTTCACCGGCTTCTAAAAACTTAGACAGAGGGGAGAGAGTTTGAAAGATAGAGAGAAAGAAGAAATAAGAAAATGAGACAAATGAAAGAGATGGGGCCCTTTTACATCCCAGCTAAACGGCGCCGTTTGGGTTGCCATAGCTGTGTGTTTTGGACTGAATGGTTTAAATCTCTCCGCAGTCATCCTAATGTTTCCATGTATTCTATTTGGTCACTATTTTCATGATTAATTTCTTATTTATTTAAAATATGTGTCCTTAATCTGTTGTTTTTCATTTTATGCTTTAACACTAATTTTATGGTTTATTTTCTTTAAAGTCCCCCATATTTAGCCGAGTATGTGCATTATGGTCACTAGGGTTCATTTTTAAACTCTTTGAATTTAGCATGTTGTTTCGGTTTATTTCAATTTAATCACCTTTTATGCTTCCTTATTTTAAATTAATTGTTTTATTTATTGCAATTTAATCCTTTCACTAATTTATTTTTCTAACCAAGGCAATGTTTGATTTAGTAGGGAATCAATAGTATAGTCCTCACCATTGATAGACCATTATGCTTTAGGGGCTATCACCGGTGATTCCCAAAGTATGTCAACATCTTTTTTCAAAATCTTTCATTTTTTTAAAATCGAAGGTAATGTCTGATTATTGGACACAGTAATTGATCTCCCACAATTCATGTTAGTGGGTAAATATTATTGGCTTTAATAAACGAGCACCCTCTTTAACTTTGTATCCATAATGAATTTTGAATTAAATAAATATTCAAACTCCAAATTTCCAAATTTTAAAGTAGGGTAATCAACTAGGTACTATTTTCTGAGCGCTGTGGGGATGATAATCCTTCCTCACGTGTAACCGACTCTCGAACCTATTTTCTGGTTTTCGCAGACCCCAAACTTTATGTTTTGATAAAAATAAAATATTTTATTAAAATTACTCGATTTTTATGGTGTTCCAATCGCACCTTAAAATAGTTAGTGGAGACTCTCAACATTTCATAAAATAATTTCAAAACCTTTTCAAAAACCTCATATTTCCAACTCATCAACCTTTCTCCTTGAGGGGTCGGTTGCGACAGGTTGTTGTAGATGTAGTCAAAATTGTGTAACAAAACAACATGTTAGATGTTTGGTTCGCTCACCACTCCTTTATTACTCCGTAAAACGTCTCATTCGATAGAGACATTGAATTTTTACGAATGTTATTAAGTTCTGATTTTTGTCGTCATTTTCAATGTAAGGTTTTATTTTTTTTCGTATTTTAGGTTTAATATTTTATTTTGATGTTGTTATTCACGTACAAATGGAAGTTTCCCTAGCTTTTGGGAAACCTGATTTGTCTGCTTTCCTGCAACAGAATTATTGGGTGCATTTGTCATGTTTCTTAAGTTTCGTGACTTACAAATCAATTAGACCAAATTGGGAAAGTTCATAGCTTATGGGAACCGGTTTTACGTGTATAATAACAAGCCTTTGATTTTGTTTTATTCTTACGATATAATTATTACTCGTTTTTAATAAAAGACAAATAGTTTGAACACTATCCCGATAATGAGTGACTAGAGGAAACAATAAAATAAATTTTAATTATTGAAATAAAGTCAATTTCCAACTTAGATGACAAGTCTATTATATAAATATTGTATTTTTCATGAATTTAAAACATTATAAAATATCATATATCTATATATGTTTAAATTTTAAGATCTTACTTAACTTTTTTTTGGATAAGTCGAATTTTTATTATCCAATAGCACTGTTTGCTACAAAAATCACTAATTTCAGGAAACAGAAAGAAAATACAGGCTAAAACAAAATGAACGATCGATATTAGTCAATACCCCAGACAATACAAAGACTGGAGTTTACATCATCAAGCCTATTAATATTTTCACCTCTAAGTTTAATACGTACATAATCTTTGATGGTGCTAAGTATTTCTTCAATGCTTTAAGAGCATCCTTTGAAGATTCTTCGGTTGCATTCCTCCCACAAAACGTATATGGTGGCGTTCCAAGCAAGTTTTAGAATAGTGACTAGTAGTGTTTTACCTTTCCAAGTTTTGCTTGCCCAAGTAATCATATTCTCCCAAGATAAGACAGTATTGTGAATTCCATTAAGGTGAAAAATATGCTCTCGTAAATGAGAGGCAGTCTTGCAGTCGAAGAACTTGTGGTTACGGTTTTCCAAAGTCTCATTACATAAAATACAGTTTCCATTAGAAACAATGCCTATGCGTTGAAGGCGATCTCGAGTAGGCAATCTATCGATCATTGCCATCTAAGCTATCATACTGTGCTTAGGAATGTTCTGTGGGAACCAAATTAGAGATTGCCAAGGAACTTTATCCCCCTTCATTCTAATCTCTTGCCATATTAACCTTATCGATGGTGTTCCGTTTTAAAGGATTGGATGGGCTTCAGTTCGTAGCTTAAGTAATTTGTTGATGCCCCAGCTCATTGTTGAACCTGTTTCCATTTGTCAAAAGTACTTGCCCTTTAGATCTTATTTAACTTATATCAGTGTAAATGAATGTTATTTTTTACATACACCAATAAAAATAATTTAATAATATTTTCATCATAAATGCTATCAAAAAAATTATTTTAATATTTTAAAATATAATATAAAAACTTTATACTAAATAATATTAAATTAATTATATTAAAATAAGACAGAATATAATTAAATTATAT